TGACTAAACCGGGCTAATATGGTCATATTTCCTGCCTGGTTCTAGTAAGAACTCTTAACTGCTGCGTTTTGTACCAGTTGGAGTTTGTTTATTCAGCGTGCAGGGCAACCACCCATTAAAACATTACAATAATCTAGCCTTGAGGTCATGAACGCATGAACTAACTAAGAAAGGTGTCAGAACACCCAGTGAATCACTCTCTGCTGCGTTTGGGGCTGCATAGCTGCAGACTGGTCACAGTGCCCATGATGACCTCTGTCCACAGCCAAAAGTGCCTACAATGGGCAATGCGTTTAGCAATGTGTTTAGCAATGAATAAACGCTGAATAAACAAAGGTTGCCTGGTCTGATGAATCAAGTTTTCTTTTAGATCAAGTGGATGGCTGGGTGTGTGTCATGTGGATGTTACTTTGACATGTTCCACTGTCAGACCAGGTACACCCCTTGATGGCCCCTTAATGTCTTGGTGCTAGATACCACAGGACACATTCAAGAGTCTTGTGGAGTCCGCATCAGAGCTGTTTTGGAAATGTCAAGTTTGGAGCATGATGAGGTTAATGATGATGGAATTTTATTTTTTGGATGAACTATGCCTTTAACTACTTTTTTTGGACTTCTTAATATATAATTAGGAAGTGACAGCGGGTTATATGCTGCACAGAGGCAAGCCACCTTCCCAAAAGGTTATGTTTCTGGTTAATAGTTTAAAAAAAAGAAAGAACATGAAATGTTATACCATAAAGTTCACAGGTCCTTCAAGATGTGAAGACTTATTCACTTGTCTGCAGATGTTCAGCTCTGTTAAACTACACAGCCTTTTGTCACACTGTCACTGGCGCTTCAATTGTTGTCTAGGAAACGGCATTAACGCCAGCCACCGTTGAATCACCACACATTTAAATGTCCAGCCAGTTTGTGTAGGAGAGAATGAGTTTAGAGGAGTGGATAAGGACGCAAGCCGACAAAAGGAAATTGCCTGAAGTGAAGGGCATAATTTCTTGTCTTCATCAGTAGGCATGAAATGCAAGGATAGTGTGATTTACAGGGGAAATATTTGATAAGTTGTCATGGAAACTCTCAGTCTGCTGTCCACTAAAGTTGCGGGTTTTTTTCATGTGAAATATCCCCTCAACACATAAACACACACACACACACCCCCACACAGCACTTCCATGTGGCACTTTCCCACCGTGTAAACAGCTCTCCTTCCAGAATGTGCCTCCTTCAAAGCCTGCATAAATGAAGAAAAAAAAGCCCATGCAGGTGTTTGCACATGGACCCCTTCCTTTCCACTTGGCTCCCAGTTATTTATTTGCTTGCTTGTCAAGCTTGTGTGTTAACAGCCAACAGTGACGATAAGAGCTTGATGGTTGATTAATTGATTTGCACTTTGTGGTTTTGAGAGAGACTCTTGGACCATTTTTAACTGGTTAATGCATATGATTCATCATCTGACAAATTACAGTTCAAATTTCATATCCGTTTACGTCATTTGATGTAATTTGTGAACCATACGGCACCACGTATTTTCTATTGTTATTAAGTTGTAGGAAACCCATATGTAGGGCGGGGTATCAGCAACTACATCAAGATACATTTCAATGAATACCTCACAAAAATGTATTAATTGAAACAAAATGATGCCAGTTCAAAAGAAACATTGAACTTTAAAGACTACACTGAGCTTTTAATGTAAGCCGCATGCATGTGAAAGATTTTGAAGAACTACACTGAAGATCTGCAACTTATCTGTCAATTAACAATTGAGCCAAATGTGGAACCTTTAAATGTGCTGAAAATATGTTTTGCACTTTATAATTCTTCAATGTAGTAAGTGACGTATTTAGTCATGAAATGTCTGCAATCATTGTTATTGTCTATGTGGCCCTTTGATTAAGCTATATAAGGGGGCTTTTACACTGGCAGTCTAGTTCGAAACAGATCATGGTTCGCATGAAAAATTGGTAATGTGAAAGCTGTCATGCGGACCTGGAAGGGTACCGAACCCGAGACTACTTGTAGGAGAATGTGAAAGCTACTCGAATTTGGGTATGCTTTTTTTCAGGAAGTAAAATAAATGCAACCACACTCTACAAGGTACTCGGGCCGATTTGGGGCCCAATTCTCTCCTTCTGACTATCCAAGGTAAAGCCCCGTTTATCTGCATGGTTCTATTATCTTATCAGATTTTCCTGTGGTGTGAGGTGTGTTAAGAGAGATTGAATCTGCTCGGAAGAACGTCGGGGCTGCGCCGATCTCAAATCGTAGATATCCAACATGTTAAATATTTTGGATCTGAAATCATGTTGTGTGAGGACAAACATGGACACACTCTGTAGATTGTCATGTCGAACGAAATGATACCAAATCAGATACAAAATCACTATCGCCATTTCTTCTTGCACATCGTCCACCATGTTTGTTTACTCTGTAAAGTCACGTTTGACCGCAAGAGATCTTTCGAGATTTCCCTTGTTCACAGTCGAGAAATCTGGTTGTTTGTGAATGGAATCTGTTAGTGTGTAACATGTACTCTACTCACTATAGGAACAAAACTGTTAAATATATGATTTTTTTTATCGTCATGTTTGTGGTCTCTCACATATGAAAATCTGATAAGATTTTAAAAATCTTTTAGTGTGGGCCAGCCTTAACATGTCCATGCGTTTTAGCTGATGACGATGTCATTAGTTCAACGAAACACATGTTAGGAATGACAGTGGTGATGATTTACCCCGGATACAAGCAAGAGTGAGCGTGCAGTGTATTCGTGCAGAGTGAGCGCAATCTGAGCTGCAAATGAATGGTTCGCAGTCAGCTTTCTCCACAAAAGAGTTTGTTTGCAAGCACCAGAAAGCTGCCTCCATGCAATGCACACACAGTACAAAAGTGTCGTTCACCAGAGTTCTGTTTTCATCACCATGCATGTTTGTGATGACGTGAAATGAATGCAAATGCACCAGGGTTCGATAGAATCAGGGAGTGTGAATTCAGACCATCGCTGCGGGGGCGCCTAAAATAAATACACACAGATTCGTGAGCGTGGCAAACGTGCCCAGTGTGAAAACCCCCTAATGCCGCTTTTCCACTGCATGGTACGGCTCACTTATATTGTACCACCTTGTTTGAGGTTCCAAGTAGGGCTGTCACTTTACGTTCGAAAATCGATTGCACAATCGATCGGACCAACCAACAACACAAGTTTCGAAAACGAAAATAGGGAATCGATTTTAACCAAATATGTACACTATTAATTTTAAACGAATTAAACAAAATAAAAAAGATCGAGGTAACAAAACTCACAAACAAGCAGAAAAAGAAACTAAAGAATTCCAAAAGTGCAGTAGGCGTTGCGAAAGCTAAAAAGAAAATTTCCAGCTGACAGCGACCCGCTTTTGTGGTTGAAGATTGGAAGTACGAAATACCCCCACCTTGGGCAGCTATGGCAATGAAGTACCTGAGTGTCCCTGGGACATCAGTGCTGACGGAGCACGTCTTCTCAACAGCTGGACATATAGTGAATAAAAAAAACGCTCTGCTCTGGACCGTGAAAATGTTGGTCAACTTGTTTTCCTTTCCAATAATTTGTAAACACTGCAGATCACTGATTGGTCTGAGAGAATCGTCACTACCAGCGTCATTGGATTTGCGAAACAAGACACCAAACCCGCTAGCAGCAACAGCCACCGCAGTATCATTTGTTCACACAACTTTTTTAAACGACTTGCTTTAAACGACCGTCACACGAAGAAATGGCTGAATCGTGGTCAGTAGACGAGGTGCAGACGTTCCTTTTGTGGTAACCGAGGAGTGGATGATGTCACGCAATAGGTGGCGCAACTATAACGATCAGTCTATCATCTTACCCACTTTAAAGCGGTACTAACTGCAGTGGCTGGAAAAGCAAACCAAGCCGAGTCTTCCCACGCAGTGGAAAAGCGAAGCGAGTTGAGCCGTACCGAGCCATACCATGCAGTGTAAAAACTCCATAAGATTTGCCTAGCACATAAACAGGTTTTCATAAACCTGTATTTAGGTCTATTAAGGACATCATCATAATTTTGCCACATATTAGGATCCTGTGATATCTTGCCATTTAAGATAAAGAGACTTATAATGAAAAATTATTATATAAATATTTTTCATAATATTTATTTTTATGAGGCATTCCACCGTATCCGACACCTGTAGTAGGAAAAACCCATCAAGGCTAGGTATTACATTTATATTCACCTCTCTTTATTGAGATTCTACTCAAGCATTTCAAGTGTGTCTGTCTCTGTTGGAGACTGAAGGAGATCATGCTGGTTGAGCTCAAGCAGAATACTTAGAGAAACAGCAGAAGACATTTTCTTAAATGAATTCCCATAGCCTATAAAATAGAGTTAGGAAATTGCTGTAAAATGACACTACAGGGGATCAGCAAGCATGAACGGTCAAGGCACTGGAAAAGATTCATTTTTCGTAGAGGAATGGCAGAATATTTAGGCATTGACTTAATGTGTTGCTTCAGGGACGGCAGGAAATGTTGTGTTGATGCATTCAAAGCCGAAGCAAAATCTATATGGCACAAAACAAGTGTCATTATCAGACGATGTGTTAACACATATACTCCTCATGGATTTCTTAGCATCCGTGTGCCCAGTTTGTGTTTGTGCATGTGTCTGCATCCATGAATGTTTGTGAAAAAACAATAAAATCAGCGTCACTGAAAAGGCCCTTTTGTTAAGTGAGTCCAGCCATAGGTAATCAGGTTTATGGTTTCCTAGCAACAATGCCCTTTCAAATCTCCTCCAGAACAAACTTGACCGAGCTTTGTTGTCCACCTTGAATTGAACTAATTCACATAGACCACTGTAGGATTTCATTTTAATTGTTTAATTGTCTCATTTGTTTCATACAACCTGAAATAATCTGTGTTTGAAACGTAACAATGTATTTTGAAGTACATGTGTGTGTTGCTCATTTCTTGCAACATCTTTTTTGTATGTTCCCATCAGGGTAAGATGGTGAAAGGCATGGGAGGGGCAATGGATCTAGTGGCCAGTGCTGGAACTAAAGTGGTTGTTACAATGGAGCACTCTGCTAAGGTAGGTGTAATCATGAGTTATGCTGGCTTTCTATATTACATTTGAATTTGTTTGCAGTTTGTAAATAATAGTGTAATTTGCATTTCAGACACAATGAGGATGCCTATTTGTGCTCTGCTAATGAAATTAGTTAGCCTGGTTAAAACCAGACCATTCTCAGTTGTAACTGAGTTATGGTCTGGCAAAGCGTCATAGACAAATCATTTCCAGAGGGGCGTCACCAACGGAGTGATGCGCGGTTGGCGGTTACAGCCGCGGACTCCGCGGATAAACCGCGGATCGGGCGGATGACGGGACGGAAAAAAATATTTTAATTAAATTCGGGCGGGTGGCGGGCGGCGGGCGGTTGAACCAATCAAATGAAAAAATATACATTGTTAAATATTGTAATCTGACTATATACCTACATCCAAAAAAAAAAAAAATCGAGCACACTTTGAAATAGTCAAATTTTCATCAGCTAGTCGAGTCTATGCAGAGACTGCTTGTTGTTATCAGAGATGGCAGCGCCGGCGAAGGAGGTAGCTACGTGACAAACTCAAAAAAGGAGAATTAAAAACAAAGAAATATGGAAGGTTGCCTGGAATAAGTTGTGCGCTCTCTTGATATGCGCCCGTTCGATATTGTTTCTGGTAAAGGATTCCACGAAGTGGCCCAGACGTTGATTAACATTGGAGCCAAGTTCGGTGCTGTTGACGCTGGACGAGCCTGTTCTGAAGACTCCCGTTAATTTTGAATGCACGGGAAGAGAGCGGAGAGCGCGTCTTTTTCAGGCACAGTGCAATTCATTTTATACCATCAACAGGCCTAACAATCATATAATAAACCATAGAGCCTTGATATTAAAGAAACGCCGAAGTCACTCCTAGGCTTTTTCGTTGGTGCGCCATCAGCTATGCCTACAAAAGACAGATGAAATCTAATATTAATAATTGATCCATGTCGGTAATATTTTATAATGAAAAATAGCCTACACAATCAAGATAGACTATTTACTTTTTAGCCTATTTATTAAATCCAGGAAATTGGTTAATGAAACATGGATTAAAATGAAGATACAATTAATACAAAACGAAATTCGCTTTAAAGAAAGGCTTTGTGCTTTTTTGAGGCCTCTGTGAAAGTTTGAAAGTCTTTTAGTGCCGCTTTCTGAGTGTTCGTGTCCGTAATGGAGAACTGTCACGTAACATTGTTGGCGCCCCATACAATAGCAGCATGTTGAAATTATGTGCCAAAATACGTTTTCTATTAGGCTACTATGAAAATAATGTACAGTAGCCTATCAGATAAGGTCAGGTTTGCCGAAGTGCGTTTAATTTAGGCTATTTATTTATTTTTGTCCCCGCGCCGATCGGAGACGGAGTTCACTGCTGATATTCTGAGAGCTTTCTAGTCTCGCGGCTGTCATCAGCAGCGCCTTGTATTGCCCAATCAGCGGATGGCGGGCGGGTGCGGTTTTGAAAATTGGTCAAAAACGTTGGTGCGGATGGATGGCGGACAGATGATGAGTTTTGTGATGCGGTTGCGGATGAAATAATAGCCCATCCGCGCATCTCTAGCGGATAGACCTAAAACCAATCAGAGCGATGAAGGAGATGACGTATGCAGAGCGGCGGAGACACATCTCGTGTTGTTCTTTGCTCGGTTTTTAACAAAAAGGAAACGTTCAAATCGCTTAAAACAGACGCGATAGCTGATTCGAACGAGTGATGTTCGACGGATGCGGCATCCATCTTTGTAATGTAGGCTACAAAATCTGCTTCAAATCCCAGCGCTGTCGTCATCGTGTAAAGCCCGCCCCAACGTTTCTGATTGGTGCCTCGATTTCGACGGATTGGAAATGGGCTTGAATGAGCTCTTTGCCAGACTAACTTTCAGAGCAAATCTAAATTTGCCGGAAGTTGTCTGGGTTTTCCCAGGCTAGAAATTAGTTCCAAAAGAAGCCAAATTATCAAGCTTTGCATGTCACAGAGCAACTGAAAGGCGTTCTGGAATGTTTCTAATTAAGACAAGCGGAACAACAAACAATAAAGTGTTCTGGTGCTGTTATAAGCAGGGGTTCAATTTGGCGGGAATGATCCAGAATGACATTCCGGGACCTTGGAATGAAATTTATTTTCTTTTTTTTAATTCAAATTTGATGCAGTACACACATTCCATTTCCAGTGACTTAGTGATGACTTCAAAAAGAACCTTCATTACAAAAATTCATTACATATTTATGCTTTCCTCGTAGCTGTAGCAAATTGAAAAAGTATAATACTGCTAAAAGTATGCCGTTTCCAATAAAGTGTGCCGTTTCCACTTTCCTTCAAATGTTTTTTTTTGTCTTTTTGAAAGAAATTATTCAGCAAAGACGCATTCAATTGATCAGAAGACAGTAAAGACTTTTAGATTGTTGAAATGCAAACAGCGGATCAAAAATGCTTTCTATTCATCAAAGCATCCTAAAAAAGTGTATCACCGTCTCCACAAAATTATTGAGCTGCACAACTGGTTTAACACTGATAAAAAATGTTTCTTGAGCAACAAAACAGCATATTAGAATGATTTCTGAAGGATCATGTAACACTGAATACTGGAGTAATGATGCTGCAAATTCAGCTTTGCATCACAGGAGTAAAATTACATTTTAGAATATATTAAAATGGAAAACAGTCATTTTTAATTGTAATAATACTTCACAATATTACTGTTTTTACTGTATTTTTGATCAAATAAATGCAGCTTTGGTGAGCATAAGAGATTTCTTTCAAAAAACATTTAAAAAAATCTTACTGACCCCAAACTTTTAAATGGCAGTGTGTGTTAGAAATTTTGCTTGCTATATTCAAAGTTATAGACTGTATGCGGTCTAACCCGTTTAGAACTTTAGAAGACTTGTTTAGAATTCTAGTTTAGAACCCGGTATCCTTTGTGTCGAAGTAAGAATCATACCACTGGACCGACATCATATAGGCATTAGTCATATTTGTATATTTATCCATGTCATGTAATACCTTTCTAGGTCACCATTACCATTAAATTGGAACTCTTTCCCCACCTCGGAAATCCCAATTTAAACCTTAGTTTTTAAAAAATGTCAGCACTTTAGGAAACACTGTTTAGAAAGGTTAAATAAGTGATGTCTCTTTCCCATTTTACTTAAAAATAAATCACTTCTAGTCAATGACTTAATAACCACATACAAACTGGATTTTATGCTTCTAAATGAAACTTGGCTAGAAGACAGCTGCAGTGCAACAGTCCTCAATGAAACATCCCCTCCTAACTTTACTTTTATGAGTGTCTGCAGAGCGGGTAGGAGAGGTGGAGGAGTAGCTGCTCTTTTTAAAGATGTCTATATAGATATCTGGAGATTTTAACATTCACATAGATAATGATACAAATATGGCAAAAGAAATCAAAACTGTTTTAAAAACTTTTGATCTGATTCAGCATGTACATGGACCCACACACAATCGTGGACACACTCTAGATTTACTTATCAGTAAGGGTTTAAACATCTCATCGATTGTTATTAAGGATGTAGCACTGTCTGATCATTTTTGTATTTTCTTTCATATATTGATCTCTCCTGCCATTGAAACTAGATCTGTGTCTGTCAAGAAGAGATGCTTAAAGGAGAACACTAGTGTGCTATTTATGAAGGCCATATCTTTAAAACCAAGCATATCTGCTGACTCTGTTGATTTTCTCCTTGATTCTTTTAACTCAAAGGTTAAAGGTGTAATAGATTATATTGCTCCTGTGAAAGTCAGGAAGAGTGGTAGACAAAAAGCACCTTGGAGAAACTCAACAGCTGTGCAAAATATGAAAAGAACATGCAGAAAAACAGAGCGCATGTGGCGGAAGACAAAACTTGTAGTCCATTATAACATCTACAAAGACAGCATCCATGCTTTTAATATTGAACTAGGCAAAGCTAGACAGACTTTCTTCTCAAATATTATAAACAGCAACTTAAACAACACACGCACTCTTTTTGCTACTGTAGAGAGACTGACAAACCCCCCAAGCCAGATTCCCAGTGAAATGCTCTCAGACGGCAAGTGCAGTGAGTTTGCTTCTTTCTTCTCTGAGAAAATTAAGAATATCAGAAAGGTGATCAGCACATCATTGAGCCGCACTGGGGTCAGACAGATCAGACCACAACCTGAGAAAGTAGTTACTATGTCTGTTTTCGAAGAAATTGATGGCAAACTTTTGGAAGAAACCATACAGCACCTTAAAACATCAACCTGCGCCCTTGACGCACTTCCCACATCTTTCTTCAAAAGTGTGTTAAACAGCTTAGAAGCAGATCTCCTAAAAGTGGTTAATGCCTCACTTCTTTCTGGTAGTTTTCCAAACTCCCTGAAAACTGCAGTTGTCAAGCCCCTCCTGAAAAAGAGCAATCTGGATAAGACTATATTAAGCAACTATAGACCGATCTCAAATCTTCCTTTTATAGGCAAGATCATTGAAAAAGTTGTCTTCAATCAGCTGAACAAATTCTTAATCTCGAATGTATACTTTGACAATTTTCAATCTGGTTTCCGATCGCATCACAGCACAGAGACAGCGCTCATAAAGATAATAAACGATATTCGCTTAAATACTGATACAGGGAAATTATCAGTGCTGGTACTACTCGACCTCAGTGCTGCATTTGACACTGTCGATCACGACATACTACTTGACAGGCTGGAAAACTGGGTTGGGGTTTCTGGGATAGTCCTAAAATGGTTCAGGTCATACTTAGAAGGGAGAGGTTATTATGTGAGTATAGGAGACCATAAGTCTGAGTGGACACCCATGACATGCGGAGTCCCTCAAGGCTCAATTCTTGCGCCACTCCTGTTCAACCTGTATATGCTCCCAATGAGCCACATAATGAGAAAGAACCGAATCTCTTACCACAGCTATGCAGACGACACACAGCTCTACTTATCCCTATCGCCTAACGATTACAGCCCCATTGACTCCCTGTGCCAATGCATTGATGAAGTAAACAGTTG